AAAAGTATTTATTTATTTATTTATTTATTTATTTATTTATTTATTTATTTATTTATTTATTTATTTATTTATTTATTTATTATGTATGCCTGAAAGCCAGAAGAGGGCACCAGACCTCATTACAGAAGGTTGTAAGCTACCATGTGGTTGCTGGGAATTGAACTCAGGACCTTTGGAAGGGCAGGCAATGCTCTTAACCGCTGAGCAATCTCTCTAGCCCTTATGTATGGTTTTTGAGACAGGCTCTTTCTACCTAGTTCTGGCTATCTTGGAACTTGCTATGTAAAACAGGCTGGTCTCAAATTTAAGAGATCCACCTGCCTCTGCCCCCCAAGGGCTGAGATCAAAAGTATGCACCACCATTCCTAGTGAGTTAGCAGTTTTCATTTACCGAAGCTGTGTATTTGTGTCTTGTGTTTTTCATGGCAGTAAAGCTCAACAAAGAAACCAATTAAAACCAAAAGTGTCAGAGAAATGAGGAACAAGGAAAGGCAAGAAAAGTATGATAGATAAAAAAGGAGCTCTCGTGACTGCCAGTGTCACTGCTATGAAGGGAAAGATCATAAATAAAACAGAATTAAGTAGAGCAAGACAAGGATTCTCAAATATCTAAATCCACAAATAATTCCAATCGGCAAATTGCATTGTTATATTGGTTAGAAAAGAGGTCAAATAAATATTAAATCCATTTTATCACTCAGGGTGTTTCAGGCTTCTGAATTCTTCAGATTTTAGGATATCAATATTAATCTTATTGTGCCTCACTAAATGAAAAATATGAGCACTACTCCAAAAGCTTTGGATTTTGGAGCATTTCAGATTAATGATGCTGAACCTAAAAAGTATTAGAAATACCTACTTCTCCCCTTAAAAACTACAGTCATAAAAATTCAAATTTATAATCTCCTAGGGTTAGAAACAGCTAGACTTACAGTAAATACCTAGTATACGGGCATAGTATTTGCCACCCCCCCTGCCTTCCAGTCACTAAATTCTCGAAATGAGTAATTTTCTCTACTGTACTTACCAGCAAATAATCACAAGATACCTTCAGTAGGCCTATAAAACCTTTTCTCATGTTCTATGGTGAGGGCATGAATAAAATCTTTTCTCGTGTTCTATGGTGTGTCTTATGGGAAACGTTCCACATTAACAGTGCTTTTGCAACTACTCTGTACCTCTTTAAATGGAATCCAGCTGCTTCCAGGCTTGGCAGGATTTGATGGGGTCTTCAGTTTTTCAAGGGCGTTGTCAATGGCATCACCATAGTTATCCTGAAACCACTTTTCATGAGGTGTCTCTGCTGGAGCAGCAGTGATGCTCCGAACATGCTCCAAAGCAAACACAATAGGCTTCATCAACGCTGTATGCTTCTCTCGCATGATGGCAATTTTCTCTTCTCTAACCAAAGACATTCACATTCAAAAACTTTATTTATTAAAGTTTTGTATATACATGAGACATTTAAATGCATCTAGTATTGAGTAAATAGTATCAAAAAAACAGGCAAATAACTTTCATGTAACACTGTAAAAAACCAAAAATAGAAAAAAATAAGCTTTGCTTTTCAATTATGTTGGAGAATGGGATCTAGACCCTAATTCTCAATCATTTTTAAAAAAGAAAATATGCAAAATCGACAAGACACCCGATGCAGACGTGAAGACTATCAAACTCCTGACAGGAAAAGGGTTTCTTACACTAGATTTAACAGTGATTCCTTAAATATGGCACCAATTAGACTAAACTGACAATTCAAAGTGATGACACACGCTTGCAAATCAAGTATCTAATAAGAAACTCCCAGAAAGTTTTTCTAGCCAGGTGGTGGTGGCACACTCCTTTAATCCCAGTACTCAGGAGGCAGAGGCAGGTGGATCTCGGTCAGTTCGAGGCCAGACTGGTCTACAGAGCAAGTTCCAGGATAGGCTCCAAAGAATGTTTTGCTAAAAACTCCCACATCTCAACAACAAAACAACTTAATTCAACATTCTGCAAGGATATCCATTGATCAATGACAGAAAAAGAAGCTACACATCATATGTTGTTAAAAAAAATAAAAATTGAAACTACATGAGGATTATGAACAAAACTCCCAAGAAAGTGCCAAATGTTAACTGAGTGAATGGCTCAGGTGGTAAAAATTTGCCGCACAAGCATGCAGAATTGAATTAGAATCCTCAGAAGTCATGTAAAAGCCAGATGATGTGATAGGAGTGCTGTAATCATAACACATGACAGGGATATGCAAGGTAAAGAAAAGAGAATCCCCAGAAGCTCATGAGTCAAGTAGTCTTGTACATACAGCAGAAGACAAAACAAAAAGTAGAGAAGTAGAGGTTCTGCCTTAAATAAGGTGCAAAGGAGGCCTAACACCCAAGGTTGTCCTCTGACCTCTACAGAAAGGCCATGGCATGCATGCACACACCATGCATTATACATACATAAAATTAAATGTTGGCAACAATAGAAAACCAGGATCCTCATGAAAGTTAGAACATAAAATGGCACAATCATTGCGGAAAAGACTCCTAGGCTTAACAAGATAATAGCATTGGACATCAAATAGACAGCATTACATACAAAATAATCCAAAGCAAGGGCACAAACAGATACTGCACATTGCTCACACAGCTAAAACCAAACCCAAATCTCTACTAAAAGATGAATCAAACAGCAAACAGTAAAACCTGGTTCACGAGGGCTAACACAATGGCTCAGTAGTTTAAGGGTATTTGCTGCTAAACTTGAAAACCCAAAGTTTGATCTCCAAGACCTACTGGTAAAAGAGAACACCCAACTCCCATAAATTGTCTTCTTTCCTACATATGCACAGCATACACATATACATAAATGATAAAATGTTCTAATCTGGAGAATCTATACAATGTGGTATTATTCACTAACCATGTAACAGACCCATGCATGCCATAGCAAGGTAAACCCTGAAAACATGGCGCTAAATGAAAGTTACAAAAGGACAAATACACCGATTCCACTCATGAGACACCTAAAGCAGGAGAGTTCACAAAGCAAGAAATAAGAACTAGAGGTAATGAGGAGGAAAGTTGGGGCAGAGTTTATTACTGAGTACAGAGCCTTTCTGGAATTAGGAATGATTCTAGCAGAAGGTAGTGGTGATGAAAGCACGGTACTATGAATGCATACTGTAATGCCACTTAACTGTACAGTTAAAAATGGTTAAAACTATGGATTTTGTTGTGCTGATTAACACATTATAAAGAAAAAAAGTAAAGAAAGCAATTGAAAGATGGCTTAGCAGTAAGAGCACTGTCTGCTCTTATAGAGAATCCAGATTCAGTTCCCAGCACCTACACGGCAGCTCACAACCATCCTTAACTATTCAGGGGATCTAATGCTCTCTCCTGACTTGGGTAGGCACCAGGCAAAAGCGTGGTACACATATATATCTGCAGGCAAACACTCACACACATAAAACGAGTGAGTCTAAAAGACAGAAGTAGTGAAGGAGTGAAGACATACTTGCGCAAGGTGTTGTTGTTCTGGACTCTCTTCACCTCATCCTCCAGCTGCTGAATGCGTCTCAGGACATACATGTGCTGCTGTAACAAAACTCCCAGCCAGAGCTCATCCCAGAGCACAGTGACCCTACGTAGCTCTGCCACAAGCATCTGAACCTGCAGACACAACACATCCACATGGCTCACAAGGCAGCATCAAATCAGACACGGGTTATGCATATCTCATAGAAAACTCCTTGGAAACATAACATAGATTAGTGAGACAAATTCTGATTATTTGTAAAGCTTTGGTTCTCTGATATGATTCCCCTGAGATATTAACTTTAGGGTTTGGGGAGGAGGTTGCAATGAATACTACTTTAAAACAAATTAGTTTTTTGTACCTGTAAAACCATCGTTGGGTTGGCAGAGGACAGTTTATCTACAATTTTGCTGTAGCAATCCTGCATCATGGCCTGGTCTTCATTTAAACCACTTTTAGGTTCATCTTTGTTGCTATCCTGAGATGCAGGAGGACTTCCTCCTTCACATTCAGAAACCAGCAGTTCTTCTCCTTGAATATTTCCAAGTAAAGTAGGGATTGCAGAGGAAAACTTATTTCCTACAGTGGGATGCAACAGGGATACATGCACACACTTGGTATGGAAAACAAGAATAATGTAATTCACAGTCACAGTGCTGTGCATGATGCCAAAGATTATAGTGTTCTGCACGTTCACAAGCTGAGCTTTTCACGTATGTTTATAAATACTATAAACTAATAGGGGAAAGCTGGAGGAAGATGGAAAGCAAACAAGAAGTCCTCCCCAGGCAGAGTGTAGAGTGGGGTCTAATGTTTACCTTAAACAGCTCTATGCCAAGTTCCTGGTATATTGTAAAGAGTAACAATAGCATGCAAAACATGTATTAAAGACACACATTAGTTACTTCTTCAGTAAGTCAGAACCACTACCAAAAAAAAAAAAAAACCAAACCAAAAAACATGCTCTCAACTTAAGAAGACATCACCCAAAGAGACTTAAAAATTTTCTAGTAAAATTAAGCAGCAGTATTTTAGCTAGGCAAGGGAGTGCACGTCTTTAACATGAGCACTCTGTGGTGCAATACCAGTCTGTTCTACATTGAGTACCAGGCCACTAGGGTGAAACAGTGAGACTCTATCTTAAATAAATAAAAGTATTTTAATGTTGCATACCTGAAGCCTGGGATTCACTGCTAAGTGATATGGTTCCTACTATTGCAGGATACAGTATGAGATGTGGGGAATCTTGGGCCACACGGCAAAGGAGGTTACAAATACTCTGGCGCACATACACTTCAGGGTGGTTTAAGCGTGAGAAAAGCTGTGGAATAATTCCTTCAGGAGAAGATGATAAGTGATTAAAACCTATGAACTTTGGGAATGCAAAAGGATAAAACCTGATGTATGTCAGCATCAGCACAGATATTAAGGAAGCCAAAGTTCTCCCTGTGGTAACAAGACCCATACAAAATCATTTTTGATTGCAAGTCTGCTTAGGGTAGAACTGTAATCACAGTCCAGAGCAATATAATATTGAATGATATGCTCAACATATGTCTCAAAGAAGGTAGATGAGGTGACTGTGACTAAATTCTCCACTTATTTTCACCATCCTCTCCAAAACTGATTTCTGATGATAAAAAGCTTCAGCCTTTTAGCTTCTCAGTTCTCTACAAGGTAGGAGAAGAGATGTTCATGAGACATCAACCGGTCCAGTATATCCTAAGAACTAGCCTGGCTATTCTTCACTTCACTGGAAGAGCTAGTTCCAGGACAGGCTCCAAAAAAAAAAAAAAAAAAAAAAATCACAGAGAAACCCTGTCTCGAAAAACCAAAAGAGAGAGAGAGAGAGAGAGAGAGAGAGAGAGAGAGAGAAACTATTTCAATCCCACTCAGAAACAGATTAATTAAAGAGAGCATTTTAATTTGGTCATTACCTCTCCATGGAGCAGTAGGGGTTGTCTCCAAGCCATGTTCCAGATACTGCCGGAGCTCACCAGCATGCTTCACCAGCAGTCTGAGCAGTCGCAGGGTAGCCATCACAATCACATCATCAGTGCTTTGCTCTGCTCTGCGACTTAAGTGGAGTCTCGGGTCATCCTCATCTAAGAGAATCTAAGTGAACAATAAAGGGATAAGGAAACCATTTCTGTTACTACTCCTTTTGTCTAAAGGAAAGAAATTCCAAATAATTTTCTTTAGAAGACTGTGCCACCTACTTGCCCAGCGTTGAGCTTAAGGAAAGTAAAATATGCACTGCAAGATAGTTTGTACAGGCTGAAGATTCTATCTACAACTTTCCTCCACACTTTAATAACACCTTCAGTTGCATTTTCATCGAGTTCAGAAAGCCACGGGCAGCTTGATATTAACTGCCGCCAGATAACATCAACCATGTCATCTTCCTCATTATCTTCACTTTCTGTAATCTGAAGTGTTATATCTTCATCCTAAAGAAATGTGAACATAGAATACTTCAGGTGAAATGGAAGAAAGATACACAATCAGATTTCCACATGCAAAGATTGTTCTCATATATGATATACTGAATCCATTAGTAAGTGTCTCTATGATATACTTACTAATACAGCCAATAAGGTTTTAAGTGTTTAGGCAAAATTTAAAAGACTTCTCATTTTCTGTATTTTAAATGCTTCTAAACTATAATATTCTGTCTGTAGAAAAATTTGTTCAAAGGATATAAAAAAAAACAGAATAAACACAACTCTATTTACAATACTGTAAATATACATCACAACAGCTTTAACAGAGATTCATGGGTACAATTTTAGAACAGAACTCAGTCAACAGAGTTTAGCCTTGCAAATAAAACCCACACCTTCTTTGAATGCTGCATTTAAATATTCAAAGCTACAGAACTACAGAACTTACAGGATACTTTGAGGAGGGGCAACACTGTGCAGTTCACCCAGTCCACTGTTCTCCAGTCACCAGTGGCAGAGAATATTACGACTCTTGCCTACTAGCACATGTACATTCCCACACCCCAGGTCATTTAACTGATGTTAAACACACATAAAGAAGAATTTGGGGAGGGAGATGCCCCCCATGCAATGTCATACTTTAAAAGTTCCCGGGTAGTCTTTTAAAGAGACATTTTCCGAGTTCTGGGGGATTAAACCCACAGTCTCACTCACATACACTGTAAGTGTGTTTTTACCCTAAGTATACTACCAGCCCAAGAACCTAACTTCAGAACAGAAGAGTAATTAAGAGAAAGTAAATTTACACAAAAGGAACTTCACCTATTTTCATCAGAACCATAGAGAAACTACTTGATTTCTCAAGAAATTCTGATCTTAGGAAAAAGATAACTACATATCATCTTAAAATTTGAGATTTTTATTTGCAACACAAACAACTTAAACCTCATTCACTATTTAATAAAGTAGCCAATTACTGATCCCAGTGGTGGTGACCCACTCCTTTAATCCCAGCAGGGGCAGGCAGATCTCTGTGAGTTTGAGGACAGCCTGGTCTACAGAGTTAGGTCCAGAACAGGCACCATATAGAGAAATCCTCTCTCAAAAAAACCCAAAACAAACAAATAAATGTGGCCAATTTCCTCAAAAAAAAAAAAAAGTTACAACAGGAATGTTGGCACTACTCTCCCAAAAATCACTGTATCATGTTTTCCTTGCCTGAATTCCTGCTGGCCGACATACTGCTTGTCCAAGAATACCATATATTCTCTCTTTTTCTTCTTCAGTTATAGTATCTGGAAGCAGATTTTGAACTTCAGATTTTTCTCTAGGCAACAGACGAACACCTTCTCCCTGACTATAAAAATAAACAAGTCATCAAGTATTTCAGGTACCAGAACTCTCCAAAATCAGCATTATATATCTGTTTTGCAGTGTCTTACATTAACACATACATACCTGGCATTGTCAACCACCTTTCTGCCCCACCTATAAGCCCAACTAGCCAATGCTGCCCAAGATTTGGCTACTTCTGGTGCCTGCACTGAAGACAGATGATACAACTGTCCCAAAATGAAGTCAGGTTCTCCAACTCCAATATGCACTGCCAGGACAGGAAAAATAACAAGAGCTCAGTGTTACGTTCATAACTTCTGGTGGTGTTCCCACTGACCTATTAAGTCTTTATTAATTGTAAACAAGTAATAAGTCCAATATATCACAGTACATAAATTGTTAACGACCCAAATTTGGGTATTTGTTTTGCAGTGTGACTATATTAAAAGGCATCAGCTTATGTAATCATCTGTGGACACACCTATGCCTATAATGACACTATCTTTAGCAATAGCTTAGATGTTGGATGTACTGTAGAAATGTCTTATATCCTGCTCTTGAGTGTTAGTCTCTCATGACTAGAACAATTTTAAGCATTTGGTAAAAACAATGCACGGGTGATAAGCATACCATAGAGACCAACAGGGTAAACAGATCTTTACTTCCTTTCTACAGAAAGAAAACTGCTTGGTTTATTGAATTTATATGCCATGGTTTTAAGACATATCCCTTATGAATATAAAGAACTGTTTAATAGATACACTAGAAATACTTTTTTTAAAAACTAGTGCAAACCAACAAAATACAATTTAAGTAATTTAAACCCTAAGCTTCTTCACAACAAAAATGTAGGTGTGTAAGAAATCAGTTTTCTCCAGAACTGATTAGGATGTAGGTCAGTAAAATTAGCATGCATGAGGTACGGAGTCTATACCCAGCAAAACACATGCATGCATACACACGCGCGCGCGCGCACACACACACACACACACGTAGATAGCGTGTATGAGGCTTGGAGTCTATACCCAGCAAAAAAAAAATTATAAAAAAAAGAAAAAAAAACCCACACAAGTGGACACAGTGCCAACTTCCTATAACTCAACATTTAAGACATTCAAAACGGAAAGTTTTGATGTGAGGTCAGTTACAATATGTAGAAAGAAAGATACTATCTCAAAAAAGAAACAGGTAAGTGTGGTGACATATTCTTTTAATTCCAGCAGTTGGGCATCAGAGGCAGGAAGATCTCTGTGAGTCTGAAGCCAGACTGGTAGTACATAGCAACTTCCTGGCCAGCTAGACTATCTCAAAAAGAAAAAAAGTAAGAAAAAAAAAAGAAAAAGAAAAACAAACAAACAGAAAGTAGGGATGTAGTTCTGTGCTATTAACTCCTGCCTAGCATGCCAAAGACCCTGGATACAATTTCCAGCACCCTCCCCTCTTCAAACAAAACAAGAAGGAAAGAAGAGGGGCTGGGGATTTAGCTTAGTGGTAGAACGCTTGCCTAGCAAGCGCAAGGCCCTGGGTTTGGTCCTCAGCTCCAGAAAAAAAAAAAAAAAAAAAAGACAAAATAACAAAAAAGACCAAAAAAAGAAGGAAAGAAGAAAAAACAAAAGCAATAAATTTTGTTTAACCAGTCATCCTTTGTGGCCAAGTAACTTTGCTAGTATCAGACACATAAGAAACTTGAGTCTTTCTGTCCTCCAACAACCAACAAGCTATGTACTTGCTGTGCCTGACATTTACTCTTTCATGAATCAATGCAAAAATATCCCCTCTAAATCAGGAAAGGAACTTACATCTGAAAAGCTGGATATACAACATTCAGTACTAGTTACTGCCAATGTGCTATATTTTTGTAATTGAATTTTTTGTGGCAAAATACAGCTAGCATAACATTGATTATAACATAAAATTATTATTTTTAAAGCTAAAAAAAAGAGAATAAAATTGTACCTGTAGATTCACTCTCAATTCGAGGGTGTTCTTCTCCCACTGTATTAGCAGACGGCAGCTCTATTAGAGCAAGTATATTTCTAGACAAAGTAGAAAGGCCTGGAAAGTTCTGCTGCTGCTGAGCTCTGTACACCTGTCTCAGCTGTCCTGAAATCTCTTTCCATTCTGCTTGGATCCATTTAGCCAGAGTCAGAATTGACTTGGCCACAGCATACTCAGCTTTCGCAGACTTGCAAAAGGATATGGCACAAGAACTCAACATTTCCATTGCGTGTGTTGATTGGCCTATAGAAAAAAAGACATACACATACAAAACCACTGATTTATTTACTCTTAATAGTAGAATAAATTATTTCAAGATTAAGCAATTATTTATTTAGCTATTTAATTTGTTTTTATTTTTAAAAACATGAATTAGGGACTAGAGACATAGGTCCAGGAGTTAAGAGTAGCCGCTGCTCTTGGAGAAACCCAGGTTCAGTTCCCAGCACCCAGATCAGGTAGGTAGCTTACAACCTCATGCAACTCTAGTTCCAGGGGATCCAAACACCCCATTCTGGCTTTTCTGGGTACCAGCCACATACGTGACACATATGTATGTACATGCAGGTATTCACACTTTAAAATAACAGAATTAAGATTCAAATAATAAAATATGATAAAGTTAGCCAAGCATGATGACACATGCCTTATGAGGTAGAGGCCAGCCTGGCTGACTTAGTAAGTTTCAGATAGGCCAAGAGAGTTAGACCTTGTCATAATAACAATAAAAAAATTCAGGGGCTGGGAAGATGGATCACTGGGTTAAATGCTTGTAATGTAAGTGACATTAAGGACGATAGTTTGAGTCCTCAGAATCCACGGAAATGCTGAGTAGACATGAAAGACTAAAAATCCAGCACTCAGAGAAGGGCTAGCGGAGATACACAGAACAAGTTGGCTAGTAAGGCTACCCTAACCAAGTGAGTTCTGGGTTCAAGTGAAAAACTTTGCCTCAGTATATGAGATGGGTATAAATTAAGGACATTGTCAACCTCTAGCCTACAAACATACATGAACACAGATGTGAACTTGCACTCACATGTGTGCTCCCATATATACAAATAAGCAGGCACACGACACTTGCAAAAAAGGAAAATAAACAAATCCAGGGATAATCAATGATCTATGAAAACATGTCTTACTGAAGGACACTGATCTATAAAAGCTGGAAATATTTTTTTTTCTAAAATACTTCTTAGGCCGGCGGTGGTGGCGCACACCTTTAATCCCAGCACTCGGGAGGCAGAGGCAGGCGGATCTGGATCTCTGTGAGTTCGAGACCAGCCTGGTCTACAAGAGCTAGTTCCAGGACAGGCTCCAAAACCACAGAGAAACCCTGTCTCGAAAAACCAAAAAATA